AATAACTGAAATAACATATTCTATATTAACCCTTTGAAGCAGAAACTTGAGAAAGAGGGATGGGAAATTAAAGGGGGGATAGCGACAGGCACTAATGTTTTAATGGGGATGGGGACATGAATTTTGATTTGCGGCTACGAAGTCCCCCAGGCAGTGCCCATTCGTCCTTCCGGTAGACATAGGTTTAGTAAAGGTAAGGAATTTTTAAATGGAATGTATGGAATAAAAATTAGAGCAGGGGAGAAGATTTGAAAAGTCTAACTGCTTTTTTGCATAATTTTAAATTATGATATTAGCTTCGGAAGGGTGTTTTTTTACATTGATATTGGGAGGAGGGACACTTCTGGTTTGTTTTTTTATATTAACACTGGGAGGGCTACATGAGAGGCATACAGAGCTATGTGGAATTTGAGTACCAACTAAACAATTGTCACTAGAACCGAGGAAAACCACGGAAAACCATGATAGAATTGGCCGGTCGCAGAACTTTCAGGATGTGTACTCTCTTCGAAGCAGAAACTCATCTAAATTATATTTAAGAATTCAGTCCGTACCGCGAAGAAAACACAAATATTCACCGTTACAAAGATCAAATGGTCAACGCAATTTAATTAACACTTTGATGTCGACGCTCGCCTGAATAATATTTAATAACTCCGTCCGTACCGCAAAGAAAACACTACTATTCACCGTTACAATGATCAACTGCTTAACGACGTGGTAGAACAACGAATCTGTGACGCTGAGTGCGAGATAATGAGAGGTTTTTAAGTAGCAGTTTTTCCTTAAGTAGGTAAGCTGGTATGTTTGTGTATAATTAACTCTTACAGAATTTTTAGTGAGCGAAACGCGTACTTGGGTTTGCTGTAAAAGACATACGACGAGTCTGTTTTAAAACTATGGCGTATTTATGACACGTTATAAAAAAGAACTAGATTTATGTTAATTAAGTTTAAAAAGTACAACACCGGGTTGAGAATAAATTAACCACGGAGGCAAAACCGGACGACGGTAAGCTGCGACATTACGTACAAGAGTGTTGGCTTTATCACGATGGGGCAGTTTTTTTATGTACGTAACTTTTGTTTCCATAGATACAACGGATAACAAAAGTAAAGCATATTCCGACTTAACTGCACAAAAACGGTGTGAATAGAATTTACCAGACGTGGGTAAGCGCGTAATAAATTTCCTTAAGACTTTAGTATTTTAATTTCAGATGTGTCCGAAAGAAACAATACAATTTAATTTACATTTAAATGTTTTATATTGTTATAATTGTATTTATACTATATTAAATAAGGTACATCTAGTAACGTCTGTAACACTAACATTCAACATAAATAACATTAATGTAATCTTACTCGTACATATAAAGATTAGTGTAATCTACTATAAAAATTTGTGATTCCCCGTTGTCGTCAACCAATTTGTCGTCACAGAATGACGTCATCAACAATGTCAACTATAAACTAACTCGGCATTGTTGTGTTCCACAACAATGCCGAGTTTAGTGTCTTACTTAAGATTTTAAAACGCAACCAACCCCCCCGAAGGAGGGGTTGGTGAAATTGTAGGAATAATTTTTGGCTGTCTGTGTGTTAGATCCTATGAAAACTAGTGATAACTATATGCATAACAAGCTTTAATAACCAAAAATTCTGAATTTATCTCACAGAATATATTTATAAATTTTGTATGATCATCGGGGTAAACTGTTTATTCCGTAAACAGAGTTAACGAATCGATCTTTGTAATGGTAACGAGTTGTGTTTTCTTTGAGGTACGGAGTGAATTTTTAAGTAAGTTATTATTTAGGCGAACTTAGACTTCAAAGGGCAGAGAAAGTGACGAGAATTTCGACCATGACACCGCTAAAACTTTTCACAATGTAACTTTGAATATGCATTAATAAGGAGCTCGGATTCCGAGTTTAATAGCAGCTCCACAGCCTGAGTTTAGCTTTGAAAGTTCTGAAACTTCATTACGCGTGTACTGAAAAGTACAAAACACATTATCGAGAAAGGAATTTTAAACTCGTGGATTTCCGTCTTCTGGACTAAGACGCTCTGAATTTAGTCTTGTAAGCTTTTAACACTTTATATTTATTCACACCGTGAAGTGCGTCATTATAATAATATGCATGTAGGTTAGGTTAGGTTAGGTTAGGTTAGGTTAGGTTAGCTTAGGTTAGGTTAGGTTAGATTAGGTTAGGTTAGGTTAGGTTATGTTGATATAACCAGTACCTGGACACAGTGCCTTTGCTTATATTTTATATACACGAAACTGTTTATCAGTATATGTGCATGTAAGACTTGAGGTTCTCACAGCGGTGAATATAAAGATTTCTGTCTTCTGGGTTATTGCGCTGTGTAGTCTGGTCGATGTTAACCAACGTTTCAGAGGTCATTGTGCAGTCCATATATGTATGTATGTGTGTATTCATTCCTATATAATGTATGTTATCGTATTGATATGCCTCTCTTGCTATTTTAAACAACATGGACCTTTTTTGAAATTTTATCTCTCATGTACAGACGTCATTCAGAAACAGAACATTGAATTTAACCGAAACTCCCTTCAGTCTAGAGAAACGTGGTTAGTCAGTAGCTAGAATAAATAAATAAGTAACAAATACAAAATGCAGATTGAATAATAACCACAAGACCATTTTTTCATATACAATTTTTGTGAATGTTGAAGACAGCTGGCAGTGTGACTTTTTATTTTCTGCGAAAATATTGTTGGTCAGTGTTTGAGACAGTTAATTATGGTGATATGTGGTGTAAATGATTTGCTGTCATGTGACTCTTTTATTACGTGGTAGAAATTTCCGTTCGTACAAATCGCGCGTTCTATAACATTTAAACTTGCCAGAGTAAGCAACGTTCAATAGTCGATTTTTAAAGCAGGTGTGATAAAAATGTTCAAGGTATAACCACACGGAGCAGAGTCCACCTTGAGAAGCTAATGGTACTCTAAGAGAGTCGATAAATTCCCCACATTTTATAGAACCCAAAAAGTTTTTCTACTATCATCTTCATACTCGCTGTCGCGAGGACCAAAAATCTGAAGAAGATAATGAGTCCTCGGGTTCCTTAAGAGGCAGGATATTTCTTGTTCATCTCGGCGACGTTTTACTCCTTAAGAAGAAACATTCTGCTTCATGGTGTTAGTTAATTACTTCATGAGATGAGAGCAGACATGTTAGATGTAAGATAATGTTTTTTGGGCAGATAACATTGGGTGTTTTAGGTGTAATTTCTGCTTGTTTATTTTTCGGCAGAGTTTAACTCGATCTTGATACATTTTTGTCTCAATAACTTTATTCCGATTTACGAGTGTCTAAATTTGTTTAAGGCGATTCCTGGGGATTCAAATGCGCGCTCATACACTGGCCGATCTAGTCCACTTTTATTTATTTATTTTTTTATGCTACAGAGAAGTAACGTTATAATGTGATTCGCTATCTTCAACCGCGGGAACGCTACAAAATGCATCCAGTTTCATCTTCCCCCCCCCCCTCTTGGGTTGGCAAGGGGTGTTCCAGCTTGTATAGACGGATAAAATTACAATAGCACATACATATTGTAATATTTTGCTTTATACTGTAAGGCTTTGTCGAGTTACCTTTGACTTAGACAATTATGTAAATAGCAAAGAGGCTTCAATTTTAACCTCCTGAATTAATTTTGAAAGTTTGATATTTTGCATTAGTAACCACATAAGCATGTTAATTGAGTTTTAAGAAGGCCACATAGAAACAGGATCCTCGTTTGAATAATACGTTTTATGGTGAAAGGACGGATGTTGGATTAAATGACTGAAGGTTGTCCTGTTTGTCATGCCAAGTTTAAAATTAAAATTTTACGAAAATACCTGTCTTATGGCTGTCAAAGGATAGCTACGCGTAGAAAATGTCTACAAAAATTGATTTGATATTTTAAAGAGCCAGCCATTGGACCCTTTATAAAATAGATGAATCCAGTCCATACCCTCACCACCAATTTTTAGAACACTCAGTTTAATCTTATCCTTTAATCCATGTTTTGATCTGCGTAGTGTAGCTCAAGAGAATTGTGCTGAAATTTCAGTGATATAGGAGATTAGAACTTTGTAGGACAGCGAGAATGCAATTATTACAGCTTAAAAGCCAATAATCAATTTTTATTAAGTGCTGTCTTCTGGGTTATTACGCCGTGTATATTTCTATCCGGGGTATTAGAACGTTAGCGGTTCATTAACTTTTGTGTGGGCAAATGTCAAATTAAAAATGTCTATGAATTCATGACCACCAGTCGTCTTTAAAACCGGTTTTTTTTGGATTTTAATGAAATTTGGTATGCATATACTACAGCATACTGGGTGTCCATAAGTTTGTGAACGATTTAATTATTTGTAACAAATACGAAACATTTATGCATGAACTTTCGTGACTATTTTGTAGAACATAAGTTCTTCGTAAATGCTATAAAAAAACAATTGTATGCCTTTAAAATCTCATCCGCTAATTTTTGGACACTGTATTTCTTATTTGAGGCGAATTATTTGAAGGTTAACACTGACACTGCGTAGAACTTTTATATTACGTACATAGAAAAATATAAATCTTCTTAATACCGATTAAATTAATTTGAATCATTTTTCGATAAGGTGTATATTTATGGAAATAAAATAAAACGCAATTATGGATCATTTGAAGCTTATATTACGTAGCTGTACTAGATAGTAAACAAAATATTTTTATTTGAAATAAATGAGTATCAGGACCACCGATTTTTGCAGAATCAGTCTCAAAGGATTATCCTGACAGAGAAGAGAGATTATGCGATGTGCGTCCCTTACAACCGTCCCAGCCTAATGGATGCTTCTATGGTCATTCATTTATAACGAAAAGTTAGAAGCCTATTCCTTTTCCCCCCACGTACCGCCATCTATTGGCGATAATTGTCGAACTACCACCGAATTCGTCCGATTAAAAGTAGTCAGACAAACGAGCATCGTAGTGACAAGTAGTGTGTGCAAGAGTGTTTCTTTAAATAATTAAAACACTTGTAAGTAGTGTTGTTTGTGGTGGTAATGTTAATACATAATTGTTAGGATGCGTGAAATTACATATCGTTGCGTGTGTTATAATATATGTGCTGTGATAACGTTGTATTAGCAGTGAAATACGAGGTTGATACATCGGAATGGAACACGCTACATCATCATCTCCTTCAGCCATAGCCGTGCGACCTTGAAACCGCTCTACTGTCAGAGGTACGGCAATTTTTTTTAGATATGTTCCGAGATTGCTCAGTTGCCAAGTTACCTCTCAACCCTTCCTCCGAATAACGTATTAACATTTATTAATAATTTAAATGTAATTAATTTTAATACTGTTAATATTCTATTTATCGTTGTTGACGTAAGCGTTACGTGTCCAACACAGGTTTGTGTCTTGCGTACTAGGAGGCAGCACTGGGTGTCCATTTGTATACGTAACTCGTGTTTCAAGATGGCCTGGAGTGTGCAGTGTTTAGTGTATAAACAAACGGGGTGGATTTTAGTAGAAGTAACCCTCTTACATTATCATGTATTATGTAATTTTCGTATTTCATATTTTATTCTCTGTCAGGAAATTTAAAAATGTAGGTGCTTCAGAACAAAACCATCTGTTGGAAGTATTCATTCTGTTTAATTTATTTGAAGGCTGTTACATTATGTTTAACTGGTGTGTAAAAGAAATATTTAGTTACATATTAGTGTGTACTTGACTTATGATTGCATTTTCAAGCTGTTTCTGTTTATGTTGGCTGCATAAATAATGATAAACATGCAACAACACAAAGTAAATGCATAATTTTAACTTTTAATCAAATATTAAGATGACCAAGTTAAGGAAGATGGGATGGGATGGGTATGCCGAAACAAGACAAATTAGTAAACATTTTTTTAAATCCTGAAGGGAAAATATCTATCGGAAGAACTAGGCATAGATGAAAGGATAATATTAAAATGGATATTAAGGAAATAGAGTTTTGTGTGTAGATTTGATTAATCTGGCGAAGAATAGGAACCAGTGATTGGCTCTTGTGAGTATAGCAATGAACCTTTGGCCTATGCTCACGATAATTTTGAGAACGAAGGAATGGAGCAAAGTTACATTTATGTTCCTGACCGAAGATGAAGTGAAGTGAAAACTTTACTCTGAAATATATTTTATAGCAAACATTAAATAATTGCGTAAGTTACCCTTTAAATCCCAGGGAATAGAAGCAAAGAGAATCCGAAGCTCGCGTAAATAATATATGATTTCAGCCCGTACCTAAAAGAAAACACAGAACTTCAACATTATAAATATCAACCGGTTAACGCTGAAGGAAATATTCTCTGTTTATTCTGAGAATCATTCAGATACCACAAATACATTCTAGACAAAACACAAGAGTTACTCAGTGTTATTGTGAGTGGTACATATAGGAACCATTTTGTCTTTAAATGTTTAAGAACCTTTCGTCATTCTTCGTGAATAAGTAACGCTGTGAGTTCTTCGTAGACTAATGAAAATGTAAGGGAATTACGTATTTGAATACCCAGAGGCCGGAGATGGGCGTAGAACCGTAGTTTGAAAGTGTAGTCTGTATTCAATCAGTCTTTAAAATGCGAAAGCACATGTCGGCATGTGAAGAGTGTACCACTTTACGAGAGATCTTCCTTATGATTATAAATAGAGCTTGTCCTAAGTACCGCTCGCTGTGGATGCACGAAGCAGCTTTCAAAACCTCTTGTGGTGCTTCTGCACTCTAGAACTACAGAAGCTTCTAGAATATTAACTAAGAGACAAAATACGACTACTATTTTATAATATCTTTGTGTCTTAAATGGTTTTATCCACTTCAAGCAGTTGTTTTAGTAAGTTCGTACACCTACAGAATGTGGCAGCCGTTTTAAAACAAATCCAGATCAAACACTAAATATAGACGTGTACTTATTTCAGTGCTGATGTAGGCTTATAGGGTGGATAAGAATTAAGAAATTTTAAATATAATTAATTTTTTAATTGTGTGTCATACGACAACGAAAAAATTGGTAATGGGACAGAATCTTAAAAGGGTTCTGATGGCTTTTATTCCCATAATTTCCAATAATTTTTTTAGTGTACGAAACACAATATAAATAAACTAAGGACAAACAGCATGGGCCTTTTGTCGTGAGTAATATATTTAACAGGTAATTTACAGTGGACAAAATTGGATTAATTAATACATTTATTAAATATATTCGGTGGAGTTTGATCATAATTCTGTATTCTTGATAAAGGAAGGGGAATCTTATTTGTGAATATTCTAGTGGGTTCAGATAATTTTTTATTTACTTATAATTATTTATCAGAAAAATGCAGTAGCTGTCTCAGAGTGTTTTTAAGCCCCTGTTGCAATATCACAGACATGGAAAATTTTCAAGCGATTGATAGCTCCTAATCTAATCAAATTATAAAATAAACCAAATTTTTGTTCACGTTAATTTGCTGTCTGTGCAGGGTTCTATAAACAACTGGAAATCATATTATATTCATGTGACTTTCCGAGAGCTGAGTTTTATTATGTAGGTAAAATATTTCACTGGGGCTACGAATAACATTGTGGTAGAGTTTTCAATTAAAGTGTATTGAAACTTTAATTTCACGTTTTTTTTTTGTAAACGAATAATTTATATACATCCAGTTAGTGGCGGAAAGAATCATATTTTATACTGTCAAATCTGAACGTAACAGAGTTTATATTTTACGATCAGTATGTGTCCCGTGTTAAATATTTTGCGTGGTAAAAAAATGGATGTACTGTAATTAGTAACGAAGTAAAGTTCACACATTTTTATAGGATATATTCCCTGTTGATAATGAAAAAGGCGAAATTAAAGTTATTAACAGTGTTCGCTCTTTAATTTAAATTTTTTAAATAATTTAAAGTAGTTTGATGATATTTCTTATTCGGTTCTGAACAAAAATTTGTTGGGTTTAAATAATTTTAATTCTTATCGGTATAGTATGATTTATGCGTAACATTATAACATCGAAATTATATTATTTTACTGTCTTGTGGTTAAGGGCTGCACTTTCTCCAGATTCCATAATAAGTAGCGATATCTCTCTCTCTCCTACGTTTGTTAATTCTCGTATGACAGAGTTAATGAACGCAAAGAGAACGCCATTTTAGGTACACAGAGAATTAGCCCGACACATAAAGTATAATTGTATGCAGTTTTGTGCTTGTATCTCGTATATAATTATGCTTGATAATGAATACAAGATCCAGTTGAATTCAATTTAACAGAAGCAGCTGAGGCAGAGACTGCAAACCACTTTATTACACAGCTTCCGTTGGATTTCATCTGAACTTGTGTACGTCACTTCCTTTGTTGTAATACGCATCTAAATTAGAATTTAGAGTTTTCATAAAGTTGTTTTACTATAGTTCCTCGTTCACAGAAGTTAGGTTTTATGGTCGTACGAAATGTGTTTCGCCATTCACTGTCTCCTTTATTTTTAAAATTACGTGTACAACGTCAGTAAAAGCTCAGGTCTTTTGGGGTTTCTGCACAAGCATGTAAATTATAGTCGTAAAGGAAGAAAGCCTGATCCGAATAAAGGCGTTGTTTGTGCTGAATTAACTTCTGCAGCGGATGTGTGACTTGAGAATCAGATCGGTATTCTTGAAGCATTGCGTAGTTACACTTTAATATAGTGTGGTCCTTGAAGGTTAATTATTTATGTGCTGAGACAGATCCATATTTGTCCTAACGCTATTGTAATTATTATTAGCTTCAATAATCAATCAATATCTCTTAATTTTATGTTTGTGGGTATAGTATGATTCTCACTGTAAACACCGATTAGTTCATTAATCGCGGTTAACTAGTTGATATTTGTAATGGTGAAGTGTTGTGTTTTATTTGCGGTACGGACTGAATTCTTAAATATTATTTAGACGAGGTTAGGCTTCGAAGTGTTTACCGATCGTATTTTGAGCGCAAGATAACAAACTTTGCGTAGGCTTCTTTACTCAAAAACGTAGTATAACTTCAAGTATAATGAAGTGAAAATGAAAGGAGCAGGATTTATCATCGGAGAATCAGTCAACACTACAAATCGTTATCCAAAATTCTACACGCATCGTAAAATATAAATTATATACACTAATTTTCTTCATAT